TAGTCTGATCACAAATTGCTGGCCTTATAAGAAACCTGAACATAATACAGCTCAGGAAATAAATCTACCATATTTTATAGTCACACTGGGGGTTAAATTATATATGCAGTATGTGTTTTCTCAACTGCCCACCCCCAGGCACTTGGAGGTCCCTGTCCCTGCATCAGGGGTTGCTGAAGTTCATCTAAAGCAGCACGTAAATCATTCTGATTTGAAGTATGGCATATTAAGATAAATTGATACATATTTCTTTAATGCCCTAAGTTGTGATTTGACTTGAGTTCTTATCAAAAGTAAAAAATAAAACTGTAATCAGTCAGAACTCTTTCAGTGCCAGTTAATGTCATACAACCATTGCTTCTGAAAAAAAAACAGGCTAACTTCAGAAAGGAGAGCGGGGGCTGGACACAATTTACACTAGAGTGCTCTCTTTAGAGGAAGTCTGGGTCTCCCTCATCCTTGCACCATCTCACTCTTATTTCTTGCATGTCTTCTGTCATGTCTGAACTAAAGCAGAAAGCACTTTAGGCCAGGCCCCATGCCTTTTTATATTTTGTAAAGCACCTATGGTGCTTTTAAGACTAGGCCTTGCATTAAGACTGTAGAAGTACATGAAGAGGAATGAATTACCACTGCTGTGAAAGAAGATTTCTACATGCTGCTGTAAGTTTGCAGCTGCTTGTTTTATAACTAATACTGAAATCTTCACGTATTTTTAAGTAAGGCACAAAGTGTTCTGAGTTGTAATGCCCCAGTATTACTATGAGTACCAAAAGCTAAACACCTGCACTGAATCCCACTGACAAAACACATAGCTACTCTATCCATTTCCTAATGTATTCTCATCAAGATCAGTGTTTTACATAAAGTAAGCTTATTCTTTTTGTCACAATCCAAAACTTCACTTCTTCAAAACAACCCCTAAACTTCCCCCATACACATGCCTCTTTGTTTTGGTGCTATATCAACATATTTTCCAGTCTCTGTACTGCTCAAATCAACACTTCTCTGTGTTCAACTAGGACCTTGCGATTCCCACTTGCAGTTTACTGGGTTTCTAGACATCATCTCCAGTGACAGCTTTCAGTTCCAATGCATTTGCTCTTTCCCTCCTATTTCTTACCCAGATTCACTTTACAAGACTACCACCTCTGATCTCCTTTGCTAATATCTCATCAGCCCAGTAAAGGATGACTCAAGATAGAGCTGATATTAACTAGTAAATGCACACATTTTGAGTGTAATATTTGAAATAGCTCACATCCATCTGTGTGTGTATTGTGAAAGCAAATGTGATTAAGCAGAGGTGTAACTTCGCAGTTTGCATTTCACATCAACTTCTTGTATGGTTGCATTTCTGCATTTAGGCTGTGGCTGCATGATGGCATATCTAAGCACCACGAGTATAAATACACCAACAGCGTAAAATGGATCTGATCAGACATGAGAAGGTAACTCCAGTTCAGACAGATTAAACACACTATAGAGGAGAGAGTTTAAGCTATGTAATGGTTTCATCCTTTAGTGAAAGCTTTACAAGGGGAGATGTTCCTTGACCTAGCATAAGAATGGAAATGTGCAAACAGATAATACTTGATTGGATATAAAGCCTGAGAGTACAAAATAGATCCATCAGTGCTTTTGAACAAATTTGAATGAGCAGTGTTAAATCAAAGCTTGGCTTCAGATGGCCATGGCATTTCTGATGAAACATAAGGATTCCTGAAGGCAGATTTACCCTACTGACAAACCATGATGTTCAAGACACTGACATATGCTCTCCTCCAGTTCTATCTCTGTCAAATTAGGTTGTGAGGTCCAGTAATGATCAGGCCTTGTCCAGAACACCTCTCTGCCGAAGGGACCAAGAAATCCTAAGCAAAATTTTGGGTTGTCCCTGAACTGATTGACCATCACCTCCATCAAAAGCACAGCTGTAGAAGACAAGTGTTGTCACTCTGAAAGGACTTTGTACTCTGTACATGTAGTTCAACACAATGTATATGAACTCTAACACCACTGACTGATGCCACAGGAGCTAAAAGGACTCAGGTTAGTCATATCTACCAAAGGCACAGAAAGTATTTAGGTATTTCTAAGAATTGCAAGAAAATGTGAAGATTTAAGGCCAAAGGAGAATCCTGACAACTTCGGAAGAAGTCCTCAAATATGTGGCATAAGCACTGCCAGAGGTATAGCCAGTCCAGCGTGCATTCTGCACTGCTTTCCAGAGCAAGCTGTCCTGCTAAAGGAGCAGCACAATACTGTAACTGACTTCCTTCCTTCACTTTCTATTCTTTATTTATTAATAAAGGTGTTTTGGCTCAGAATAGGGTAAGCACTGGATAAGAAATAAATTTTTATACCCATAAAAAACCACTGTGTTGTCTTAAATGATATTTAATTGAACTTTTTTTTTTTTTTCCATTTCCTGCAAATAAGCATATAAATCAATTTTGGTATCCAGTCAGACAACTCTTAGAATTTTGGTCATCAGACACTTACTGATGGAGAAATGAACACAAAGATAATGCTTTCCAGAAACTGCTTACAGAATTGGACAGTGTTTGTGTGAAGAAGTTAAAGAATTTCAAATCTCCAGTAAGGTAGTTAAAAGTAGAAGTGGTACAATTGAAAATAGTAATAGCAAAAAAATTATCCAGTGATTTGCCACAAATAGTTTGCCCAGCTCTAATCAGTACTGTCTTATAAGTGAAGAGACATTTTCTTATGGGAATTATACTGCAGTTAAGCAGCTTTTTCTTTATCTTGTCCCTCTCTCCCTTCCTTCTCTCAGTTTAGCTGTTGTTAGGAAGAAGAAGCTGAGAAGTTGCAGCCACAACAAGATATTTGAATGAGTAGCATACAGAAAAGAATGAGAGAAAGCGTAATCAACAGCCCATATTAAATACAAAAGAGCTGGAGCTCATACAGCTCAGAAGAAAAACAAATAAATTACTAGAAACAGTCTCTAGTAAAAATACCCATCCTGAAATTTCCATGTCTTCAATACGAAGACAAAGGGTCAACATACACGAGCAAAGCTGACCCAGGGCAATTTCAATTTTATCGTGACTCGCTGAATGTTGTTCATTTGCTACATTGCAAATAATGGTCCCTTTTTGTCACCACAAGAACAATAACGACACCAAAATGCTTCTCGTGCCATTCAGTGCAAGTCACTGCAGTGATTTTGTTCCGGCCTCTACTTAATTCTTCTGTCCCGATTGCAGCAATATTTCTGTGGTTTCCGTGGTTATCTTCCTTGTTGCAAGTTGCACAACTACTTTGTTTACAGCTTATTTGTTCTAGCTGGAAACAAATCATTCCGATGAGGCGCTCTGGCCCTTTCGCATTCGCAGAAGCCCAGGCGAAGCTCACAAGGAAGGCGATGTTTGCTACCATCTGCTGGTGAACTAGAGCTGGGGACCAAATGAGCACCACGGACCTCATTTTCTGCGTTACCTGACCGGTCAGCAAGAATCTGCTCATCCATCTTGTCACATGCATTTAATGGTTTGGTAGAAGGCTAAGAAAATACTGATATTTTTGTTGAGCGGTGAAAGCTAGCGAAAGAGGGTATGCCATACATTAAGAAAAGTAATCAGGGAGAGATGGAGGAAGGGATTTCAGTCCTCTAACAATGTGTAAATCTCTGCTAGCAAGAACTTTGAGGAGACGTGTGGGAGCTACAGAATTCCCAGAAGTATAAAGACAGGAAGAAAACCTCAATCTATTATCACGGCTCAAGGTAATAAAGCTCTGAGATTGTTGCTAGAAATAATAGTACATCATTACTTCAAAAGTACTTGCTTCTATGGCAGTAGCTCCCAAATTAGGCATCATAATCACAAGGGTGGTTGTGTCACTGTACAGCAGTGTTCAGGATTACTGAGAGAAGTATATGGGGTCATAGACTGTTACAGGACTCTGAATATTGTGAAGAGGGAAGAGAATTTGTCAGCTTCCTCTGGGGTGCATCAAAAAGTGACGAGATCAGCTAACAAATATTCAAGATGTGAGTCTGCACTCACAAGCAGGGAGAAAAAAGAGACATTTCACACATGCTTGTGAGCCTTGAACAAGTTTCACTGAAGCTGATGTACAGGTATCTGGTGTATAAATCAAAGTGGAAAAAAAACCCCACATTTAAAATGTAGACTGAGACCAATAGCTGTTTCTGATTTTTTTTTTTTTTTTTCCAGAGGAGTTGCACTTGAAAGTGTCTAGCACCTCTGTATTTAAAAGTTAGAAGCAGTGGTTACTGTTCAAGGAGAAATGTACCTTTCTAGATACAGTGGATTCAACCTCAAAGTAATCCACTGCAGCATGTGCCATATTCACACTGCCCTCCTCTTGCACTCCTCTTGCTCATGAGAATGACATTTAACAGCACCACTGCACTGTCCTGCTCACAGTTTGGTCCTTTTTTCCAGTACACTAAATCCATAGATTAGCAGGTTTCTATTGTATTTACTACCCTGGTTTTTGATACTGGGTGGTGTATTTAGGAGCAATGACAACAAAGTAATAACAAGCTATTCACTAATGTGCCCTTACTCTTGCTGAGCAGAGCAGACAACTATAGCTCTATGTAAGTCTAATTGAGGTGTCTTAAACATCAACAGGGAAGGTTAATCTGAGACAGAGAGGCTGTGTGCTACTGCCCACTTCCCACGCCTCCCATCCTACCTCCCCACCAGCGCTTTTCAAGCAGAAGCACTGTATTCAAGCCACTGCCTAAAGAAAACGAACGCTAAGAGCCCAATTTTTCTGGTTTCCTTATCACAAATATTGCCTCCTTCGTTGCACATTGCTCCCACATCCTTAGGGAGGAGTTTACATCGTTACTATTTAACAGCCTCTCAGGCAGCAGGTCCCTGCTCCAACGGCTGTAACTGGCAGGCAGACAGAGCCTTTGTGCGGCTTTCGAAAGTTGGCAACAACGCCTTTGGGTCAGGCTCCAAATGACTGCAAAGCCGCCTCCAGCTCATTTATCTGACCGTGTCAGGGAGATAAAGCGCAGCATCAATTGGCAAGAAAGCCCCGAGTTAGTTTGATCCCCATCAAGTGAATTTCCTGGCTTTGAATAGAAAGCCACAAACTAGCAGTTTTCACTGCTTTACCCCATACAGTTCAGACAGAATTCAACAAAGCCAAACCAGCAATCAGTAAGAGAAAATCAATAGGATTCAAGCATAACTAAGCCTCAACAAGCAAATACATTCTGTAACTAAATCTGCTGGTACCTTGCAAATTTGAATTGTGTTCATCTAAGCAGCATGTCGCCTATTCCTGGTTTAGGAAAGTGGTAGAAGTTTGCTGGTATATCAGTAACTACACGATCTTGTTGTCTGTTCTTAAAGCCAGGTATAGAACATAAAGAGGCGCAACACCAGACTCCCCAAATGTTAGCAGCAACTGATTGAAAATGCAACAGTAATTCAAGTGAGTGAAACCTGAAAAGCCCTTTGAAGAGGCACTCTGGCCAAGCTGATAGCGGCTGCAGTCTGATTTGTGTAACCCACGCATATCTCAAATTACTCAGTCCTCTGCTCTGCCGACCAGCTCCACACCTGTCAACAGATCGAGAAGTACCAGCAGCCTGTTCTCTAAGGAGCAGGGAAATGAGTGGAGGCAGACTGACACAGAGAGGTGAGAAAGAGCAGCCCACACCCCACCCCGGGCTTTATAATAAAGATGCTCGCGGTTTATAGTAACAATACTTCTGGCTTTGGTTTTCAAGCACTGGTGCATATGTAAACAGCCATGTTCAACTCTGAGCCCTTTGCACTTGTCAACAGCCTCTTCAGCTGTCACTTCCCTCTAGTTGTCCTGTGTCCATACCCTACCCCAATTCTAATTAAACTATTTTTTACAAAACAATGTTTTGCAAAAGCAGTGGAGTTTTATATCCTACAGACTGTGAAATGTCTGGAGCAGGAGTCCTGTCTTTATTTTTTTATTAATATATCTTATAAATGAATATTTTACATATAATCAAAGTAGGGTTTGGCTGGAACACTTTTCACCAATACCAATGAGAAATTAATGTCTAAGAGAAATGAGCACTGCATAGCATAGGGTAGAAAGGTAACAATTTTGGACAGAACTTGCTCCTTTCATGTCCCCAAGACATCTGCTACAGAGCTGTCACATTGTCCTGGTCCCACCACACCGTGCAAGATTCATCTGCTAGTCGCACTGTGCTATGTGACAAAGTAGAACATGCCAGCGTTATCTGCAGATTGGGCCACTTACTCTTGAAAGAAAAAGACTAGGCAGTCTAAAAGTAGATGTCTCAGTCCTTCCTCCTCCAGCAGTGATGTGACCTCTTTCAGCTTCAAAAGATTTAAATTAACTTGCAATACCAGTGCTGTTCTGGCTGACACAAGGACAGGAGCACGGTAAGGTTGTAGGGAAGTGGTCTTTCATTAGCCTCCTGCTGTCAGAATGGAAGACTTGTGTACCTGAAACCATTTTTTCCAACTCTAATAGCTGGTCAATAAAAGATATTACCTCCCTCCACAAAGCTTTCCTTAAATTAACTTAGCATTACTTATATAAGCTCTACTGCAAAGCCATCTCTTCTGCTGGCTTGGCATGCCATCTTGTTTTTTCATATAATTATGCCCACTTTCTTACATATTTTTTATTTAGTTCATCAATAAATGTACTACATTTCACAAAGTTCTACTGTACTATAGTTTCTTTTAGCTTTTACTTTCAAGCATTTGCTTACCTTTGCATATTGCATATATCAAATAATTTAAATTATGCAAATAAGAGAAGAGCGAGTGAACTGAAAAAGTGTGCCAGGATGCACTTTTCAGTACTTGCCTATTTCTTCCAGAGGGATTTACTACAATGCACTTATGTCTAACAGCTGTCAGAAACATAATAAATGAGCACTGAAATGCAACACACAGATGGGTTACATTCGCACCCATTTGCTGTACCAAGACTCCACAAGCCAGCTAAGATCCAGTATCTTTTTCCATTTCAGTCCCCTCTTTTAAGAGCTTTGCAATCAAGGCAGAGAGTTCTAAGCCCTTGCATTCTGATATGAAGGCAGAAATTTCTTTAACACACAATTAGCAAGCACAGATAAAGCCCTTTTAGGACATGTTGAAATTATCTTTTTATTACCAGTTAGTGAATACACATTTGGAAAACTAAGTTTTCCTAATAATTAGGGAAACTGAAACAATATCACCATAAACTCTCCCACAGAGATAGGGTGCCTAGTTTAATTAATTTCATGTGAATTTTACTCCAAACACACTTTGTCCCAGCTGATGGGGTTTTATTTAGCTCACAATGCTACAAATAGCACAGATCTGGTTAAGGTCACACTGTACTAGGCCCTTTCAAGACCTTCTAATAACAGCTTCTGGGCAGTACCTGCCTCACAAGTCAAGAGGAAAGACAGGCCCAAGACTGAGAAAATGATACAGCAAAAATATATGACAACTACTTATACCACATAATGAATCATGGACAGCTAAAGCAAGAGCAATTACACTGCTCTGACACTGTATCTAGTTATTCATAATTGTCTCACATCTGAAAGACCTAATAACAGAAAGAAATGAGGTTCTTACAGTAATTGCTCTGTAAGTAACAAACTCTAAGAGGAAGTTCTTAAAGCAACACTTCAGAAGATGGTATCTGATAGTCTTCTCAAATTGCATTACAGTGAAAGCACACACACCTTAGAAGAGAAAAGAAAGGCAATGACCTTGGTCTCATCTCATCCTGACAATGCTGGTGTCTTCAAGATAAGATGGGAATATGTGTCTCGAGAAAATGAAGATCTGAACTGAATCGCTGAGTGGGAGAAGGAGCTGATGAGCAAAGCATTTCTGATTTCTGCCAAATGTTGTCACAACCCCATGGCAAGCATTATTACATATCTTAGACTTTTTTACTTCAAGTCCCTTATCATAAAAATGCATTTCTTTCTAATTTATCATACCTTGATACACAGTTCATAGATCCTTGCAATCCTTAAATTACCAAAGAAGCTTGAAAGCTTTCCCCAAACCATGTCCCTTCCTTACAGAAATTAGTAGCTTGTGCTTATACATTTTTCTATATTTGCTATTAATATAAATAAGTGGCATTTCCAGACCAGAATGAGGAAAGTGACAATGAATTTGTCCATTTTAAAAATCACATGAGAACAGCTTTAAAAGGCAATGAGTAAGCTGTTCCCTAGATCCATTTAGTCTAACTCCAACCAGTTGTGCTTATGCTTCGTTGCAGTGCAGTTCCCTTAAAATGTTATCACTCCCCTTAAAACTTTGCAAACAGAGCCTAGGGTTGGGAAAACAGTTCAGAAACGTATTTTACTGTGCCACCAACCTTTTTACATGATGCATATCTGAGCTTACCTTCCATGTGACGGAGGGGCAGGCTGCCAAGGTGAAGGTAACTTTCTCTGTCACTACATTGAAGGTGACACGAAACATGGTTTGTATTCCAGTGGCCTCAGACCCAGGGTAGAAATCTTCAGTGACGGTCACACTGCTCACTTGTGTGCATGCTGCAGGCTTCTGTCACACTGCACTATACATTCAGGAAACCCATAACGTTATGATCAAAGCTGAAGCCTGAAACAGCTGTAAGGGTCCAGCTTTTCCCAGCAGCCTTGCTCCTGTATGTCAGAACTAATCAGATTAGCTGGTTTTACTTGTCTGAGTTGGGACTAACAGGTTAGCAGAACAGTTTGAGTGGGGGAAGGGAGCAGTAAATAAATCAAATTAGGGCATTTACTAAGCAGCTGAGATTTCCTTCCTACTTGCCTTTGTCTCTTTACAGGACTCACACAGAGCCAGGACAATGCACCACAAAAATGCAGCTTTGTTTTACAACAGCTCTTTGTATAGGAGAATTTCTCTAACTTTGCCTTGATTTGATTCGTTTTTGGTTGCCAGTGATCACCAAGAGGAGAGCTCTCCCAGAGCGGCCTGGATGTTGTGAGGATAAACAAGTCTCAGACAGAAAAGGCATGTATTGTGCTTTTTTCATCCCACACTACCCACCAAGGCAACACACTGGCTGTGCCAAGAGATCAGTCACACACTCTGTTCTGCACAGTACTAGATAACAAGATTCACAGATGGTCTAATCTGGAGACTAGGGCAAAAGAGTCAAAGGGACAGGATAGGACAAGACAGAAAAGGTACAACTTTATGACCCTCAGCCTGCTTCAGAGTACTTTTCCCACCTCTGTTACTGAGGCAAATTTACCCTCGTGGAAAGAAAAATTCAAAAAAAAGGAAAAAGAGAAGTTATGTAGTATAATGGCCACCATTAACAATGTCTGACTGCATGCAGAGACTGTGCTACATGATGTGGGAGATGCTGCATGTGGGAGACACTTCCCTCATGAACACAACACATGCAGTCAGCTCTGACTGACACCATCACATCATAGTACCAGCATGCGAAGAACAGACTTGTTTTGGTAACATGTCTCTCATCTATATTTATCTTTTCAAAAACAGTTTTCTAGTTCATTAGTCACCTAACTTCCTCTGCTGCCGAAGAAGAAAGATAGGTGGGATCAACCGCCCTCTGAAACTGCCTCATTCTCAGCACTGCTTGAAGGAGGGAGCCTACATCCTGACATTTCAGAAGGCTGATGTGACTTGAGAATAACCCCTCCCTTGAAAACTTCTAGCAAGTTCAAAGATGTGTTGATTTTCTCCTACTTGCTCTGTGGGTCTGGTCTGTAACTCTAGACAGATGTTTGCTACTGAATGAGAAGGCCATCAAAATGTCTTGAATATGTTTCATTCTACTAGTCAGTAACTGTACCATGAGTAACAAATTTACAGTGTTGGAAAGAGGCCAGACTTAAAATCCTTTATTCTTGCCAATGAATACCTACTTATACAAAAGTTGCACTGACATTGGACAGATTAGGCATGGAAGAACTCACCAAGAGGAGTAGTACATTGACAATCTGACTCTCTAAAAATCCAGTTATTCCAACTGTCTAAGTCTTATGGCCCAGAAGAAGACAAGAACCATGCTAAAAATAAGGAATGTCCCAAACCTTTTGATGACAGCATATGACTGGATTCCTGTACATCAGTGTCTGCACTGGCAAAAATTAAGCCCACAGTGTTTAAAAGTTACAAAAGCCACATCACAAAACCACTATTTGAAATACTAGCAAAGCAACCCCATAGCTGAACTCTGAATACCAGGACCCTTCCAAGAAGGTCAACAAATCAACTAGTCAGTGTCAAATTACCTTGAACTTGAATAAACAAAAAAAGTAGAATTTCGTGGGAAGCCCACTTTAACAGAGGCATAACAGATCTGATGCACACCTTTAAAGGGAAGAACAGTATGTACTGTTATTTAAACCAGGTTTAACTGGATAGACAGAAATCATCTCTTTCCTGTGATTAGGTTGAAAGGGAGCTTTGTTATTTTCATAAAGATAAAATAAGATTCAGCTCCCTGTAAATAATATATTGATAGTAACATATTTGTGTATTTCTGAAGAGACTCACACACAATGAGAAGCGTTTCTTTCCTCAACTGAGTTCCTACTGTCTGCTTTAATTTACTTGTCTATTTAGGTTCGTTTAGGACTATTCAAGCACCAGTCAATGAAGAAGAGGAAAAACATGAAGTATCTTTTTGCTTTAGTTTGATAAAAGCTACATTTTTTTTCCTTTTCTTTAAAGTACAGGTTTACTGAGAATCTGAAGTAGAAAGTTTCCTTTATGAGAAAAGATGTATTTCCAGGATGGTTTCCATGTAAACTGTCTTCCAAGTGCCAACAATGCTGTGTTTCTATGAGATGCATTTGTTACAGAAAGTCAGGCTCAGGTTGAAACAGGTCCTCTGGTAGTTTGTGCCACAATGATAGAGAACTCTGGGGATGAAAATCTGTAGCATGAAGACAAGTGATTTTTAGGCTGATATGGCCTAAACTAAGCACACACTGTAGCGCTGAGCACAGAGGCTGGTGGTTGTTTCTGTTTTTAATCAAAGCAACAGTCTCATAACTCCATAAAATGTCAATAATCAGGGTTTGCGGTCATTACAGGTGCATAGCAGCTTGTAATTAATTCCCACTTTCCAAGAAAAAGAGTATAGGGCATGTTAAACTGTTTTTGGAAGAAGAAATCTCTGTATTTATATTTATGTAGTATTATCCCCAAAGTACTTCTGGGAGTAGACTCGCTGCATAAATAAAGAGTATTTGGGTCATTATAAAATTACAGATGGATTTTGTTCTAGAATTGCTAAATTTATAAAGTATCTTTGACGTGTCTGTCATTACCTGTTCTTTGTGACTGTTTTCCAACTGTCTTGTCCTGGATCTCAATCATACAAGTCAAATCTGAGACAGGAACCATGTTTGCACAGCAAAGCATCTCACACAAGATCATGACCTCTGAAAAAGGCTACTGGACATTATCATGGTAAGTAAAACAAAGAAAGAGCCCAACATATGAAATCTCCAAACTATATGTCCAGTACCTTTTCCTCCTTTCCACACTATACTTCAGCTTCTCCTTGCTCTTTTCTCTCCTCCTACTTTATGATGTATAATTTTCATTTGCACTGTAAGCTCCTCAGAGCAATATTTGATTTATTTTATGTACAGGCCTAAACTTATACCTGAGTACTAGCAGAGTCTCTTGAGCATAAGTGCATTAAGAAGTAAGAAACTCAACACAAAGAAGAGCCAGTCCTGAGATCAGTCAGCCTGAACTACCAGCAAAAAGTATTTAGAAAAGTTATTCCTCAGACACCTTTTCTCCCCATGTTAATCCAAAGACATGCATAATACATATGTTTAAAGCACGTATTCTTTCAGCATGCTGGAAACACTGGCTTAGCAAATTGTATGGGACGTCCCAACTGGGAGCTTAGTAACAAATGCTGTTCTAATAATAAAAAGTTAAACATTAACTAAATGTTCATTTAAACACTGATTCGAAAACACACACACACAGAGAATGTGCCACCTGCAAATGACCATCAAAAATTTTTCAGGCTGCTGTCAGACAAAAGAAAGTGTAAATTGAAGACAGGTCAAAGCAACATAATCTGCTTTCTGCTAGTGTAAGGGTTTTTGGTCAAATATAAAGGGCAAAGTTCCTAGAGGGTAGGCTATAAATCACATACCTCATTTTATGAATCTGATCATGAGACACAATAAATAGTTGTACATCTTCATATCACCTCAGAAAACACTTTACAGGTGGCCAGTGCATTTTGGTTGCAAGTCAGCATGGATAGGTAAAATTTCAGGTTTCATTTATCCTTCTGGACATTGCCATTAGCTCTTAAGTGTTTTGCAAGTCTGTGAGCCTAACATCTCCATGCTGGGGCCTAAGGGAGAATGGCAGCTTCCACACTCTCTGGGCTTTGAAAATGTATTGATAAACATGCCTCAATGAATTTCCCATCTCTTTGGATTTGGTCAGTATTTGTTAGTATATGTTTAAGAAATGATGTCTGAAACCACGCCCTGAAGCATCTTAAACTCTGTACAGTGTAGTTTTAATTCTACAATACAGTGGATCAGAAAAAGATGCAGACTCTAAATGAGAATTTTCTCCTGGTTTAGAGCTGGACTTCTATTATCCTACTGGTTCCCGTGCTGTACTAGGAATTCCTGCCTTGAAGGAAAGGCTTTTTGAATTCAATAGCTCCTTCTGGTGGTCTGAAAGAAAATGCTTGGTTACAGTCTGCTCACAGTAATGCAGGATCAAGGCACAATTCATTCAGTAATTGTATGTATCAGCAACAGCTAGAAGTTATGCCTTGAGTAAAACAAATATTAAAATTATTATTCAAGAAATATGTCATGCCAACTATATTCTACATTACTGTCATAAAGAAGACAAAGTTT